ACTTACCGTTGATTTTTGGCAATTTTTTGTTCAGGCATTTTCCTCCAAACAAAGTACATATATTTGACAATTCTTTTGTATGGAGAAAATCAGCAACACCTTCCCCACAAAAAAATGCCAAAAATCAATGGTAAGTCCTAGCTACTTAAAATTTGCACTTTTAAAATAAAATGGAATGGGCTACAAAACTGCATACTCAGAATGTTTAAAGTAAGAGTTTGAAATTTTTACTTACATGGTTTATGTTAGATAACGAGCTACACTTTCTTAAAAAAAGAATGCTAAAATATCGTCACTGTATGTATTCTTGTGATCATTCGTCCGGTTTTTTTTTCACTGGCTTGTTAAATTTTTTACGTTACTTTCATCACTATTTTAAAATCTACGGTTTCTGTTTATTAACAAATTGTATTCAATACAACACATTTAGTCAGCAGAAGCTGCATATTTTTATTACTATGAGTACAATTAGGAAATGTAATTTCGTTATGTAATGATATGAGTGCATAGGCGATATACTACTTTTAATAAATATCTATGTATGTACATATATAAGCAAGTGAATTGATTCTTGAATGATTATTTGTTTTGTAATATTATTTAATTATTTGTTTGTTTCTCTTTTGTTGTTATTATAAAAGTTTATCAAAAACATTTGTTCTTGAATGAATTTATATTCAGGAATTGTTTTTTTTTTTTAGGAATCGGCATCGGCCAAAAATTGGTAATCGGTCGGACTCTAGAGTTCAGTCTCGTAAAAAAAACTTTCAACTTGATTTCCCAAAATTTTAATTTTTACACATTCAGTTTTCTGGCACGTGGGTACGATATATCGATTGTGCACCCTGCGAACTCCGCTGGTTGGCTGGGTATGTATACAAATCCATATAACCCTATACCAAAAGTACCCTATATCAAAAGTAGTCAAAACTCAAAATTAATTTTTCCCAAATAACAGCTCACAGGCCATATTTCTAACATCCACCTAAATTTCTTCTTCATGACTATCTTCTTTAACTGGAAAAATACTAGTAACACTTGCGCGGCATCAACAGTTTGTTGCCTGAATATTTAGGATCTTTTGAGTTGTGACTGTTTTTGATTTAGGATGCGATATGTGCATAGCCTATGTAAATACTCGCACATATTTTTGTATGTAAATTTGTGTTATGTTAGCGCTGTTGCTCTGCAGTCACTGGAAATGTTGTTGGCTATTTATGGAGGAAATTGGTATCGGTATTGTTGTTAACAAGTGTCCGTTGCTGCGAGTGATTTGTTTGTATGTTAAGCTTACAAGTTCGTTCGTACGCATAAATGTATATATGTATGTGCATTAGGGTGATCCTTAAAAATAAAAGGAAGGATTTTGTTTAGGTCTCACCTCCTCAATCGGTAATCCCACTGTCACAGATATCACATATACGGAAAAAAATTAATTTTAATTTTTGAGTCTCCATAGACGAGTCTGAATTTTGCCCCCTGTGCAACACGCCTCAACAGTCTCCAATCGGGACCAAAATTCGTAAGAGATATCTTCGACTATAGTCGTATCGACGTTGAGGCTTAGGCCCTGTCTCCTCAGGAAAACACTGATGTCGTGATAACCATATAATAAAATATATTTCCAATGGAGGCCGCCTATTTCTCATGGGCTGCACTACATGTCAGCGCTTATTGCTTGACATCTATTGCACGCAATTTGATAGTTTGACAGCCATATTTTCATTAAAAAGAAAACGTGCTGGTGGTAACATCGATGAAATTTTAATATTAAATCAAAATAAAAACCTGTTCCCTATTGGATTATTTATGATTACGTTTGAGGAAATTATTCAGCAAGTTTTTTAAAGATTTAAATGTTTTTAAACACCGAAATTGAGACAATGTTGTCTGGTGGCGTCAAGCGGCAAATGCTTATTTGAAGACATCAAAGTGCCCACACAACAACTACTTGCAATCATATTGCTCGTCAAAATGACAGTTGATAGGCCATCGGTGTTTGCCTGTGGAGTTCTGCGTTTACGAAATCTGATGTAAAAATTTGTTTCCTACATTTAAGGACCACCCTTATGTACATATATACATACGTATCTATACTGTAAGTAAAAAGAGTTTGCCTAAAATTCAACCACAATTTGTAGAAGCTCAAATTGCAGATGGAGGCAATTAGTTCTACCGGGGACTTATGTATATGTATGTACATACATACATATCTAATTAGAAAACATTAACACTTATTTGAGTCTTCACTTCGATTCGGTTCAATTTTCTTCTAAGTATTTAGGTGAAATCACTATAACGACTTTTTCTAGCAAAGCTGTTTGCCAAGTTTCTTCTACACTGCCGTCGGTGCTGTTGTTGACTACCTTGCTGATGTTTTGCCATTTATGCGCATGTTACTAATTTATTGTTGTTTTTTTTGTTTTTTATTGACGTTAACGATTTGTTTCGTACGAGATTTGTTGAGTTGTTTTTGTTTTTTTTTTTGCTCGTTGTATTTGTTGTTGCTGCCAAGATGCTGCAACTTATTTTTTCCCCGATTAATCGAACTCGCTCTCACATTTTGTTTCTGTTTTACTTTTCCACACTACACATTTTACTTTATACAATACACATTTGCTTGCAAATTTATAATTTGCATGTTCTCTGCAATCACTAAAACACACTCTTGGCGCTTTTATCTAATTCATTTTTTTATTTTACTTATCAAAAAATACGTATGTATGTATCAGGAATGCACAACAGGTTTATTCGCAGCCTATAACAAGCGAACTTGTTACAATATCTGTGCTATAACTATATTTATTACACAGTTCACTAGCGATATGACTTTACCCGACCGTCCAATTGGAAAAACAACACAGCTTGATTACATGAGCCTACAGTTTTATATGATGTTGTTTACAGCGCGCTGTTGCGCTCTCTGACTATACCAGACTTGCCATCTATTGTTTTCATCCACGTTGTCATCTACATTCTGCAAATTTTTTACATATGGTTTTTGCTGTATTTTTAATGATTACTTAGATAAAAAGCAACAGAATATATTTACAGGCCTATTCTACGTTGGTAACAAAAATTTTGTTACCGGTAAATAAAGTTTCTGGTAATTTTTAAACCCTTTTGGCACTCTGCGCTCTGGTTAATTTTGTTACCATCTCATAACCAGGTAACAAAATATTGCCCCGTGAAGTATGCAACAGCAGAATTTATCCAAATTTCATAGCTGAATTGCTGAATAGATTAACTTACTACCAAAGTACTTAGAATTGCGGTCACAAGAAGTGATGTTATTTTTGGTAACAAAACTTTCCGGTGCCAAATGTTCGGTAACAAGCAGAATATGCTTGTTAAATGACATTTATTTAATTTTTCCTTCATAATGTAAGAACACAAAATTAAAAAAAAAAAATCAATTTCTTTGATTAGATTGGCATTACAGAAGTCTGTTAGCTCTGCAAAGCATCAAGCATGCAACCTTGCGCAAGTGCTGCCACACCGAATTAACCGATAAATGCTTGAAGAAATAATTGGGGTTGATAAAAAAAAAATCAGAGACCTTTTGAAAATGTTGCTGAAGGACAGTCCTTGACCAGTTGTAAACATGCGACCCGACTGATGTGTGAACGGATTAATGAGATAGTTTTTTCCTTTTTTCTCGTACGAGACTAGTGCTCGCCAGCAAAGCACGTTTTAAGTAGAACTACGACAAGAGATTCGCTCAATTGCTTTTTGCGGCAATATACTTGTGGCAACGCTAGATATCTTTGGATAGAGTTGCCATAGCAACCAGTTACATATAAACAAACCAAATGCACTGCATACACTGTTTTACCGTTCAAAAGCACTTCCGCAATAAAACAAAGTTGTTACATTATTATAATTAAATAGCAACACAAATATTTCAAATTCAATTCCTGCCATGACCGAATCGCCAACTGCAGCTAGTTACTTTAATATATTCATAACAGGGCAAATAGAAGCTATGGAATTTCCTCTGGGCCCAAATGCAGCGGAAGTATTTTGTCGTTATGAAGTCGTTGCTGGCCCCGACTGGGAACTAGTGTCCGGTGTTCAAAATGGAATTTCACAGACTGCATCCAATAAAAGTGGTTACTTCAAGGATAAAATTGTATTTAATTTTCCCTTGGAATGGACATTTAAGAGCACAACTCCTTTCGGCTGTAAGTTGACATTCGTAAGTGTAGGTGTATGTAATATACGTATGTATGTATGTAAATGTATTTTACTAAATTTTCCCAGGGCCACAATTGATAATTTGCATTTATGGCAAAACTCGTTGGGGAGCGGAAACAGTGCTGGGATACAGTCGTATTAATTTGCCAGTATTTGGGTCACATGCAGACGAACCTATAATAGCACCCATACTCATTCCACGAAACAGTAATATGGTATCCGAGTTAGCTAGTTGGATCACGGGGCGCAATCCTGAACTGAAGGATCCAAAGGCTTTATTAAGCAGCGGAAAATTGAAAGGCGAGTTGCGTCAAATTACACCGGGATCGAATTCCGAGGAATTTTTTCTCCGGCATCCGGTGGGAAAACCTCATTCGAGTACGCTGAATTCATAGAATAACTGTTGTCATAACTAATGTGCCCAAAAATATGTATTTCTCAATTGCAGTTAAATATGGCTGTTAATTTCTTTTCAAATGTGTGTATAGTTTCCTTGTATGTATATGGCGAATCCAAGTTTATTGCTTCGATCTTTTTCAATTGAAATTCAAAAAATGTGAAAACCATTATCTTGATATTTTCAAGCAGATTCGAATTAAGTTTTCCCCGTGGAACCTTTCTAGGAAATAGCGGTGTTATTTATGAACATTACTAGTAAACACGTGCGTATTTTTAGGCATTTCGGCAGAATCATATGGAGAAGTCATCTTTAAACTCACAACTATATTAAGAGGTACAAATCGGCTAGGATACGACTGGGGCTAGTGCAATATACATAGATTAAGGAAACATTTTAGCGTGTCAAACCCCTTTCTCTATACTCTTCCTTATTAATCTAATGGGAAATAAAAACTAATTGCGCAAATATATACAAAATTAATTATGATTTTCTTGCAAATTGAGAAATTACGATCTCTAAAGGCCAGATCAACGCGGAAACTTCACCCAAAGAACAGTGCTGTAACACGCCTCTGAACACTAGCCAACAAGGCGAACTCAGATCAAATTCAGAGCCATACCATTCAGAAAAGTTACCCAAAAATGTGTGGGTAATGTTGTACTACTTGACAACTTCAGACCAAAAAGGAAGGGTCGTACTGAGCGTCAGCTACAGTATTCAAACCTTAGTTTTCCACCGATGCGTGGAGGTTGAATTCCGATGAAGACATTCACAGGGTTATTGCCCCTTGCCGCATTCCTATACTATAACATCGACCAGCTGAATCCGAATCTGTAGGCCATTTGCCAATTTACTCCAAATTTTGAGTGTGCGAGTCAAACGAGCCACAGATTTGGATTCAGGGGGTCGAAATACATGCCGGTAGGGGGTCACACCCTTTTTTTGTGTGGCGATGTAATTAATAGAAATACCAAATCACAAATAGTTCCCAACTCTATATTTAATCGTTATGGTTTAAAAATAAAACTTGCAGCAAAAAAAAAACATTGATAAAATCTTACACGTCTGCAGTATCAATTTAAACGAAAATGTTTGCTTATTTTTCAATTCTTTATTAATTACTTAATATAAATAAGTAACCTAAAATCTAAATGTAAATATTAAAATGCTGTCTTTAGTTGTTCCTCCTTGCTGATATACCTGCAAGTAGAAAGATGAGCTATTTTTAATAAAAAAAAATTGAAAAATTGATAAATAAATTATAAATAAAACAACCATCAGTATAATCATTATCATCAAAATAAAATTATGTCGGGAAAAGAAGACAAATTTGTTAGATATATCATCATTAAAGTTTTCTTGGAAAATTATACTTTTTCGTTTTTGGGTTTAAGATAATCAGGCAGGTTCTGCAATTTATTTCCGAGTGAATTTCAACCCTTGCCAGTTTGAATTCAAGCGAGTTAGATTGAAATTCAATCCAAGTGATGGCAGAACTTGCCTGAATATAATTACAAAGTTATAGTTCATTTCCACCAAGCCTTAGCTGCAGTTTATGCAACTCGTATCTATCGCCAATTCCATGTGAATAAATTTTTCAAAAGATTTTACAAGCAAAACAAAAACAAATTGGGAAAAATTGTTCTTGATTTACTTTATAATTTTTGGGAAAAATTGTTCACACGGAGTTCCCGATAAGGCCGATTAAGTACACGCAAATGAAGGGTAAAAAGCAAAAAGTACGAAATAAACCTTGGCGATCACCCAAAGTTAAAGTTGTTGGAACTTACTTGAGCGCTTAACTGCAGCAGAGCTTTTGGTGAAAATGGGCTATGAAAACTTTGTCCGAAAATTAAAATTTCTTAAACTTCTGCATACTCGCATCGAAAAGCATATTTTTAAATATATGCACATACATATATAATGTGCATATGGATATATCTTACCTTTTAATATAATGCATTTGATAAATATCCTAACTTAACCCCCCTAACAGCGTAGCTCTTTAGTTGCACGATATAACTACGTAATGTCGCTGCTGTTAATATACCTGCAATGAATGTATATACAAGTTATAAGAATATGGAGGCTTTAAAATCAAGAATTGAAAGTAATAATAAGAAATCAGATTAATTTATAGTCAACAACATAAAGTTATGTCGGGAAAAGAAGACAAATATATAAAATAAATCATCATTTGAACAACTAAGGAAAGAATCTAACAAATGCTCTCTATGTGTTGAAATTAGTGGTGTTTTTAAGCTCTTATTATGGAACCGAACAATCAATTCGGATGAGTTGGCAATTGGATAGTTTAAATGAATCTGTCATACGGACACCCGAACTTTGTCAATCGTACATGAGTTGTATCCACCACAAACCGATGCATTACAATGGGTCGATTATCGATACAGATGGCAACTGGCAACTGCAGTTGCTACAAAGTAGGTGCTGGTCGGCATTACAATCTACTGAAATTTAGAGATAAAAGAGGCTGATGCTTTGTATTTTGACGTTTTGGAATGCACCCAGTGTGTATTCGGGCAACTGCATTTTTGTTGTTGCTGGGAAGGTTTCTGAAGCGTATTTAGGAGCGAACATTTAAAAGTATGTCAAATTTTTTAGTTTTTAATAGTTTGAAAGATAAACATTTTACAATGTAGTTTGCATTTACAGAATATTGTGAAACCAATCTTGAAATTTTAGTTCCCGTGAAGTACGCGCTTTTGATGTAACACAAGCGAACACTGATTGATAATTTATTCCTCTATCAACTGAAGCACCTCTTTCAAAACTACCGACATTCCAAATTGAAGACATTGCCGTGGACTTTCTTTTGCGAAAAATCGAAAAGCAGCACAAGCTTTAAGGAGCGGATGTATTGAGCTGAACAAAGTCGTTCCTCTTTTTGTACTAACCATAATTCTACAACTTCTTTTGGAAGCCACAGCCCTCGTATCGAATAGAAATTTTCATTAATTTATTACAACCATCAAGACTTACCTGCTGCTTTTAGAATCGCTCATGCGCAGTGCGACGTAATGCTGCTGATGATGAATGAATGTTACTGCACAAAGGATTTTTTTCCTTTTACGGAAATTTGTTTTAAATTCTGTTTTCGCAAACTTTAAATGAAACAGCAATAAATTAGGATGCACTTAATGAGGCGCAGTACTACAAAATATTAACTTTATTTACCAAAGTAAGCTACATTATTTACAAGTTATTTTCAATTAAAATACAATATTTGTTTTTTCTTATAAAGAAAATGCTGTAATGGCAAGTAACTCATCTTTTAAAACAACCTAAAGGTAAATGAGAATTTTTTCTTAATAATTAACACGTTCGCTGCCACCATAGAAAAGCAAAAAGGTTTACTGTGGTGACATCAACATTTATTTTAAAGGCAGCATTACTAAGTAGTTATATATTTAGTTTTTTTTATTTTTGTTTCACGTTTTTTGTACATTTTGTTTTTTAAAGAGTGTGACTAACTGTTTTGTTTTCAATCATTTTATGTTTTTACATACTTAAAATTGTTTTGAATCTAAAAAATCAATAAAACAGCAAATATCCATATAGCTTTCCTATAACCAAGAAGTGACTTATCTATATGCCAGACAGCAAAAAATCTTGCACCAACAAACCTCCATACAAAATAATAATATGTGACTACCGGTGGGGCCCCGTGGCCTTTAATGAAAGATGTGTGTAACCCACCGGTAGGTAACAGAGCAAAGCGAACGTGTTAAAAGTGCACGCAACATTCATTCCATTCATCCGACACAACTCGCATCTGCACAGCTGGCTGCTTCATGTACATATGTGCTTGCTTGCCACCGCCTTCAAATGACATTACCTGCAAATGAAAAAAAGGAAACTTTAATTAATATTACCATACCTTAATAAATACTGAAATAGTGAGTAAGATAATTTAGAAAAAGAAAAAGATCAGTAATTGGAAATGTTGAAATCAAAATAAATTCATAAACACGGACCAATTAATTTCATCACCAAAGTGTTAACAAAATTAAAAATTAAAATACAAATAAAACTTACAAAATGTAAAAACTCATTATTGCAGCTCGCGGTGCTGGAGTGGTAAATATCACTAGAATAGAAATGAAAAAAGATCTAATTATAATAAAGTACTGGTGACAAAACGTGTTTTTTATTTATAAATCGAAACAATTCAATGCTACATATATAAAATATCAAAAATCGAAACAAGACTAATCTTCCCAAATGCTTGCAGGGTGGTTTTAAATCTCGTATATCTCCAAAAGAATTACGATGTGCATGTACAGTGACGAGCAAAACTGTAACATGATGTAACACTTTTTATTTCAGCCACCGCTATCTCTCAAAAGTTCTAACGACTTTCATACTTTTGTTGTATATTATTATTGGTAC